CTTTCGGGGGCTGCTGGGGTGCCCAGCGGAGTGACGCCCTACGGGGACTCAGATTAGACCTCGCCATCCCTGGTGGGGCTGCGATCTGTGAAACTGTCACCACTTTCGAGGGCTGCTGGGGGGGCCCAGCGGAGTGACGCCCTACGGGGACTCAGATTAGACCTCGCCATCCCTGGGGGGCTGCGATCTGTGAAACTGTCGCCACTTTCGAGGGCTGCTGGGGTGCCTAGCGGAGTGGCGCCCTACGGGGACTCAGATTAGACCTCGCCATCTCTGGGGGGCTGCGATCTGTGAAACTGTCGCCACTTTCGAGGGCTGCTGGGGGGCCCAGCGGAGTGACGCCCTACGGGGACTCAGATTAGACCTCGCCATCCCTGGGGGGCTGCGATCTGTGAAACTGTCGCCACTTTCGAGGCTGCTGGGGGGCCCAGCGGAGTGACGCCCTACGGGGATTCAGATTAGACCTCGCCATCCCTGGGGGGCTGCGATCTGTGAAACTGTCGCCACTTTCGAGGGCTGCTGGGGGGCCCAGCGGAGTGACGCCCTACGGGGATTCAGATTAGACCTCGCCATCCCTGGGGGGCTGCGATCTGTGAAACTGTCGCCACTTTCGAGGGCTGCTGGGGTGGCCAGCGGAGTGACGTCATACGGGGATTCAGATTAGATCTCGCCATCCCTGGGGGGCTGCGATCTGCGAACGTGTCGCCACGTTCGAAGGCTGCTGGGGGGGCCAGCGGAGTGACGCCCTTCGGGAATTCAGATTCGACCTCGCCATCCCTGGGGGGCTGCGATCTGTGGAACTGTCGCCACTTTCGAGGGCTGCTGAGGGGCCCAGCACAGTGGGTACCCACCGCAGATCAAATTAGACCTCGCCATCCCTGGGGGGCTGCGATATGTGAAACTGCCGCCACTTTCGAGGGCTACTGAGGGGCCCAGCACAGTGGGTACCCACCGCAGATTCAAATTAAACCTCGCCGTCCCTGGGGGGCTGCGATATGTGAAACTGTCGCCACTTTCGAGGGCCGCTGAGGGGCCCAGCACAATGGGTACCCACCGCAGATTCAAATTAGACCTCGCCATCCCTGGGGGGCTGCGATCTGTGAAACTGTCGCCACTTTCGAGGGCTGCTGAGGGGCCCAGCACAGTGGGTACCCACAGCAGATTCAAATTAGACCTCGCCATCCCTGGGGGGCTGCGATCTGTGAAACTGTCGCCACTTTCGAGGGCTGCTGAGGGGCCCAGCACAGTGGGTACCCACCGCAGACTCAAATTAGACCTCGCCATCCCTGGGGGGCTGCGATCTGTGAAACTGTCGCCACTTTCGAGGCCTGCTGAGGGGCCCAGCACAGTGGGTACCCACCGCAGACTCAAATTAGACCTCGCCATCCCTGGGGGGCTGCGATCTGTGAAACTGTCGCCACTTTCGAGGGCTGCTGAGGGGCACAGCACAGTGGGTACCCACCGCAGACTCAAATTAGACGTCGCTTTCGTCATTGTTCTCCTCCTGCAGTCACCTTCCCTCTGCTGCTGCCGTGCTGATGGTTCGGCTTCCCGCACGTTTTTCTCTTGCTCTGCGTTCCCGACTCCCCATGTTCTCTTCGAGCCTGTAGCTGTCGCCCCTCGTTCTTGTATGGTTCTCCTGCGCATCATGCCATAGGCGCGTGTCCCAAGTAGCTTACCCATCAAGTTGATTATCCATGCAAGCTTCGGCCAACTCCTCGGTTCCATTGAATGGGTTGGGTACGTCACAGGGTAATTGGTTTTGGAGCTCCGGAAGAGAAGGACGAGGAGGAGGAGGAGGTGCTGGGGGGAGGCAGCGGGGAGCACTTGAGCTTCCAATGCACCAAAAACCAAAATAACCAAACATACGCAGTTTTCCCTTGCATCCTAGACCAAAAATTAGCCTGGCGAAGGACCCAACCATATGCAGTTGTGAGTAATGCTGGTGTGAGTACCGTCTTCGGTGGATCTCCCTATGGGGCCACGAACCGTTTGAGGGGTGTGCCGAAATGGGTGTGGGGGCGGCATGCGAACGTTGCCACTGGGGCCTTCGGTGGAGCTCCTTATGGGGCCACGAAACGTGTGAGGGGTGCACCGAAGTTGGTGTGGGGGCGGCATGCGAACGCAGCCACTGGGGCCTTCGGTGGAGCTCCCTGTGGGGCCACGAAACGTGTGAGGGGTGTGCCGAAATTGGTGTGGGGGCGGCATGCGAACGCAGCCACTGGGGCCTTCGGTGGAGCTCCCTATGGTGGCCCGAAATGGGTGTGGGGGCGCATGCGAACCCAGTCACTGGGGCCTTCAGTGGAAATCCCATGGGGCCACGAAACGTGTGAGGGATGTACCGAAATGGGTGTTGGGGAGGCATACGAACCAGGCCACTGGGGCCTTCGGTGGAGCTCCCTATGGGGCCACGAAGCGTGTGAGGGGTGTGCCGAAATGGGTGGTGGGGAGGCATGCGGACTGGGGCCTTCGGTGGAGCTCCCTATGGGGCTGTGAGGGGTGTGCCGAACATGCGTGCCACTGAGCTCCTTATGGGGCCACGAAACGTGTGAGGGGTGTGCCGAAATGGGTGGTGGGGAGGCATGCGGACCCTGCCACTGGGGCCTTCGGTGGAGCTCCCTATGGGGCCACGAAGCGTGTGAGGGGTGTGCCGAAATGGGTGGTGGGAGGCATGCGACCCTGCCACTGGGGCCTTCGGTGGAGCTCCCTATGGGGCCACGAAGCGTGTGAGGGGTGTGCCGAAATGGGTGGTGGGGAGGCATGCGGACCCTGCCACTGGGGCCTTCGGTGGAGCTCCCTATGGGGCCACGAAACGTGTGAGGGGTGTGCCGAAATGGGTGGTGGGGAGGCATGCGGACCCTGCCACTGGGGCCTTCGGTGGAGCTCCCTATGGGGCCACGAAACGTGTGAGGGGTGTGCCGAAATGGGTGGTGGGGAGGCATGCGAACCCAGCCACTGGGGCCTTCGGTGGAGCTCCCTATGGGGCCACGAAACGTGTGAGGGGTGTGCCGAAATGGGTGGTGGGGAGGCATGCGAACCCTGCCACTGGGGCCTTCGGTGGAGCTCCCTATGGGGCCACGAAACGTGTGAGGGGTGTGCCGAAATGGGTGGTGGGGAGGCATGCGGACCCTGCCACTGGGGCCTTCGGTGGGCTCCCTATGGGGCCACGAAACGTGTGAGGGGTGTGCCGAAATGGGTGGTGGGGAGGCATGCGGACCCTGCCACTGGGGCCTTCGGTGGAGCTCCCTATGTGAGGGGTGTGCCGAAATGAGGCATGCGGACCCTGCCACTGAGCTGGGGCCACGAAACGTGTGAGGGGTGTGCCGAAATGGGTGGTGGGGAGGCATGCGGACCCTGCCACTGGGGCCTTCGGTGGAGCTCCCTATGGGGCCACGAAACGTGTGAGGGGTGTGCCGAAATCGATGATGATGATGATGATGATGATGATGATGATGATGATGATGATGATGATGATGATGATGATGATGATGATGATGATGATGATGATGATGATGATGATGATGACGATGGGAAGAGGGAGGAGGGGGAGGAGGAGGAGGAGAAGAGGAACGCGGGGCGCCGTCTCTTCAAAACGAGGACCCAACACCACAGGATGGTTGGGAAAAACAGAACCACCAAAAAAACACAGCGTTTCCTTGCACCAAGGGCGCCAAACACTGTGTATTCTTTGTTTTCTTGCTTTGCAACACGGAGGAGGGAAGGAAAGGAGGAGAAGGAGGGGGAAAGAGGAAGGGGGAGAAGGAGGAGGCGCTGGGGGGGAGGCCGCGGGGAGCGCTTGAGCTTCCCAAGCCCCAAAACACAAACTACCACACGTACGCAGTGTTTCCTTGCATCCTAGACCAACAAGACACCAGACAAACCAAACATACACAGCGTTTCCTTGCTCCGAGGGCGCCAAACACTGCATTCTTTGTTTTCTTGCTTTGCAACAAGGAGGAGGAAAGGAAAGGAGGAGAAGGAGGGGGAAAGAGGCAGAGAGGAGCAGGAGGAGGTGCCGGGGGGTGGCCGCGGGGAGCACTTGAGCTTCCGGAACCAACACAACCCAAATAATCAGCAATACGCAGTGTTTCCTTGCATCCTAGACCGCAATAACCAGACAAACCAAACATACACAGCGCTTCCTTGCTCCGAGGGCGCCAAACACTGTATATTCTTGGTTTTGCGTTACTACAGAAGGGAGGACACCGAAAGGAGAAGCAGGGGAAGGATGATGGGAGAGGAGGAGGAGGAGGCGGAGGAGGATTTGTGTTTGCTGAAGGGGGAAAGGGAACGGAGAAAGAGAAGGAACGGAGAAGGAGGAAGAGAAGGAACGGAGAAGCAGAGAGAGGTATGATCTTGGAGGGGGGCGACCATACACATATATATGTATTTCTGTATCTGTGTATTGGAGCAGCTTTGGGGCCACCGCAGAGCATCTGTGGGGCATCTTTGGGCCTCTGGTGCCATCTTCGGGCCACTTTGGGCAGTCTTGGGGCTATCCTGAGGCCTCAGATGCCTATCTCGAGGGCGTCTTGGGACCATCTTTCGACCTTGTTGGGCCATCCAGGGCGATCAGGTGGCATCTTGTGTCGTTTGGGGTCCACCTTGGGGTCGTCTTGGGCATCTCGAGGGCGCTGGGGTCTGTCACAAAGCGATGTTAGGATATCTTGGGGGCAAAGCATGGACAAGCAAATCACAATAGCAGCAGCGTAGTGTTCCGATGATTTTTCCACTCTCGGGGGCGTGCGGGGGGCTTACTGTGCCGTCTTGGAGGCTTCTTGAAGCCCTCCTCGTATCCTCCTGGTGCTGTCTTGGAGGCCTCTTGGGCCCTGTGGCAGTGAGGTCTGGGATTTTGGGGCAACTCAGAGCGGTCAGGAAACTGCGAGCCCCCTCGTGAACGCAGGGAAGGTGTGTTAATGTATGCAGGGGGAGCTCGAGGGCAGATGCAGGAGAGGATTCGGGCGGCATCTGTATTGGGGCCAGGGGCACGTCGCGACCAGGCCAGGGCGCGCCAAGAGAAGCTCGCGAAGATGAGGCCCTGGCGCTCTGCCTCCGCCGCTCCTGCGCGCTCTCTCTCTCTCTCTCTCTCTCTGCTCCTGCTCTGATTCTGCTCTGTTTTCGTTCTGCTCTTGCTCAAGATGGTGATGCTGCTGCTGATGATGATGCTGGTGATGGTGATGCTGGTGCTGATGCGGATGCGGATGCTGATGCTGGTGCTGGTGCTGATTATGATGCTGATGACGACGAGGATGGTGGTGGTGATGATGTTTGGGTTCATCATCAACACCATCACCATCACCATCATCATCATCGTCATCAGCAGCATCATCATCATCATCACCATCATCGTCATCATCAACAACATCAGCATCACCATTATCACCGTCATCATCATCATCGTCATCATCATCAGCATCAACGTCACCATCTCCATCATCAGCATCATCATCATTACCATCATCATCAACACCATCAGCTTCAGCACCGTCATCATCATCATCATCATCATCATCATCATCATCATCATCATCATCTTCATCAACACTACCAGCATCATCATCACCATCACCGTGATCATCAACACTATCTTCAGTATCATCAGCACCATCAGCATCATCATTAACATAATCACCATCATCGTAATCATCTTCGTCGTCATCATCTTCATGATCACCATCGGCATCGTCATCATCACCATCATCATCGTCATCGTCATCGACATCATCATCGTCATCAACATCAACATCAGCATCATCATCAGCATCATCATCAGCACCATCATCATTATCATCTTCGTCGTCATCGTCATCATCGTCATCATCGTCATCATCGTCGTCATCATCATCATCATCATCATCAGCATCAGCATCAGTATCAGCATCAGCATCATCATCATCAGCATCATCATCATGTCATCATCATCATCATCATCATTATTATCATCATCATCATCATCATCAGCATCATTACATCGTCAGAATCATCATCACCATCACCATCATCGTCCGTAGCCATTTTGGCTCAAGTGAAACCCTGTGAAGCTAAAGTGACAGCGAATCAGGGATTCGCTTGACCTGCCCGTTGCCTGGCTCAGGCTGGTTTTGGCTTGCTTGCTGCTTGCCCGGCCCCTCCCCGGACAGATCGATGTGTTGCCGTGATGCCACAGGTTGATACGACCGTTCATGTGAATAGTCTGACGACTCAGGTGGAGATGTTAGTCAAGGGGATGCTCGAGCTCAAGGAAGGCCAGATGGCGCAGGCGAGGGCTCTTGAGGGCCACGCGGCTCCTTGCCCAGCTCAATGCGCAATTTTCGGAGAGGGGTCTTCTTTTGAAGTCGGTTAAGCTGAAGAGTTACCGTCTCTTGGCCGAACTCCGTCGTGATGTAGACAGTGGTGAGAGTTTGAACAGTGATGAGTATGGAGGCTCGGCTCCAGATCGTAAGACAACTCGTTCTGTGGGTGGTGCTTCGTTTATGTCCAGAACTTCTCCAAATTCTTGACGCTTCGCGTGTCCCCACCAGCCCATCCAGAAACGATGTCCAGGCAAGTTGAAGAGATCAAGGAAGTGGGGGAGCAACGAGAGGGACAGCCGATCCGTGCAAAGGATGAGGCGGAAGAGGCCAGATGAATAGATGAGGGGGTGGCGAGGAACCGAGCGAAGGAGGGATGAGGAGAAGGATGACGCTGGGTGGATGGTTGAATGCCGCTCGGATGCCTCTTGGAAGCATTTTGGAAGCCTCTTCGGACGTCTTGGGGGTCTCTTGGCGGTCAATGGGGGCTCTTGGGCGTCTTGGGTGCTTCGGGGGGACCTCTTGAGGCCGCTTGGGGTCCTCTTGGGGGGCTCTTGGGGGCCTGTTGGAGGCCTGTTGGGGCCTCTTGGGGGTCTCTTGGAGCTTCATGGCGGCCTCTTGGAGGCCTCTTGGGGCCATCCTGGGAGCCTCTTGGAGCCTCTTGGGGGCTTCTTGGGGCCTCATGCAGGCCTCTTGGGACTCTTGGAGGCTTTTTGGAAGCCTCTTGGGGCCTCCTGGGCGCCTCTTGGGGCCATCTTGGAAGAGATCGATCAAAGAAGAGGGTGGGGTTAATTAGCCTTGCCCCCCCCAAGAGGCCAACATGGCGCCAAAACCTTGGTAAAACCGATGAGTTTGGCTTCCTCGCCGAGACCGTTTTGGGCGCTCTAACTACCAGCGGCCCCCCCCGTCCAAGTCCAGGGGGGGGGGGGGGGTAGGGGGAGGGGTGAACCCCTGCCCGAAGGGGAAGAAGGGAAGATGGAAGAGGAAACTCCCGGAACCACCTACGCCCAGAGGGCTGGTGGGATTCCTCGGGGGCGAACCAGTTCAAAGCAATCTTGGTTGGTTTCGAGGATGAGTTTGGTAAGGATATTCTTGAGCAGGCAGGTGGTGCGATTCTCCCATCTTGTGCGGCAGTTGAGGTCCAGCAGCAGATGAAGATCACTCCTTAGAGTCTCGCGAACAAGGTGGTTATTGCCTTTCCCTCGGTGTCGGACGTCCAGGAAACGCTCAGATGCTTTCGGCAGAACCTCCCCGACGGCTTCGGTTTCGACGCCCCTCGCGGCCAGGTCTCGCTCCGTCTGAAGTCGCTCAGAGATCAGGCCACCAATGAGCAGTTCAGTGTCATCGGTAGAACCAGGGAGCTTCTCGAACCTCCTATCAACCTCGAGCGGGAGCTCCGTTCCAGAGAAGACAGGCGAGGCCCGCAAACTCTTCCTGGTCGAGAAGCCAGGTGTCGATACCACGAAGCCGAAAGCCACTTCGTTTCCGCGTGCGTTCAAGGCCCTGAAGATTGAGGAGTCGAAACCGCAGGAGATTGTGGATGCGGTTTTCGAAGAGTTGCGCCTTTAGTGACGCGGTGGCAGCAGACTTCGCCGGCAGCAGACTCGCCAACTCGCCAGGTACCATCACTCTCGGGATCGCCTCTCTCTTGAGTGTTGGGGCTTATGTAGAGGCGCGGCGAAGACTGAGGGGAATCAGTCAGAATTCATTCCTTCCGTTCTTGCCTGCAAAATCGGTGTCCGTGGCGACGTGGAATTCCATGGGGGTATCGGGCAGCGTCTCCAGCATGCGGCATCGGTCTTGCCAGCGTTGGAAGTATTTCTCTGGTCTTATCAGGCGTGACCAGCTCGCGTGTGTCCAGGAAGCTCACGGCTATGAGCGGGGCCTTGTCAGTTTGCAGAAATAATTCCCCAAGCGTCGTTTCTTCTCCAACCCGCGCCCGCTGGGCACACCTGGTCACGGGGTCCTGTTGTGTATTCAGATGCGGGTTGCTGGGTGTTTCACCGATGCCCACCATGCAGTTGTGGTTCCTGGGAAGATATTTTATGTCCTGGGCGGGGGCTCCTCTGAGATCCTTGGGCTTGCGGTGGTCCCTGCCGAGCGTTGATGTCGGCATTGGTCTTCATCGTCAGCAGTTGATCAGTCTGCATTCGGCGCTCTTCCCTGCCTCTCTTGCCGCGAATCTTATCCCCGGGGACTTCAATTTTGTGTTCAGTGCCGAGGGTCGCTTTCACTCGTGGGGGCGCTGCTCGCACTAGGGAGTGGAATCAGTGCTCTGGCTCGTTCGCAGAACTGTGCCGGTTTCCTGGTACTCGTCGGGCCTGCCAGGGGATCCAGATCGTGGAAGCCGCTCGGGTGGATCGGGTCTACATCAGTGCGCGCCCGTCTGTCTTGGACGATTTCGCGATCACTGGTTCAACTATCGGTATGCCTACCAACCTTGCGAATCCTGCGGGCCACGTTCCTGTCGTTGCCACGGTTGCTCTTGGGCCTCGACCAGGCCCTGGGCCGCCCCCGATCCCTGCCTGGATCCCTCGAACACCTGGGTACCAGTCCGTCCTTGCTGAAAGGCTCGCAGAGGTTGACATCAATCTAGGGCCCAAGGATCAGTTGGCAGCTACCAAGGTGGCGATGCATGAGGCCCGCTTCGAGTTTCGGAAAGTCTTGCGGTGCAGAGAGGCCACTGCGACCCACGAATTTCTACACTGGAGTGCGTCGGCCCTTCTTGTGTTTCGAGTTGGTCCTTCATCTCGCTATCTTCTAGTCCGTGCTGTGCGTGCTTGCCCCGCTCTCTCTGCCCTGCCCTCTTCGATGTTGACGCGTGTGCTCTGGTGGGCGATGCAGGCCTCTTCGCGCGCAGTGCTTCTCTTAACAGCGCTCTATTGGACGATGAAGACATTGCGATTGAGCAGGCCGCCTCTATTCCTGAGCATGAGTTGCAGCATCGGCGTGCGCGTGTGCAGCGCAATCGCGAACGATGGTGCTCATTGAACCCCGCGTTCCGTTTAGGTATATTTTGCACGAGCACGCTGGTGTTCCACGTGCGTCTCTTGAGAGCGCAGGGCATGAGCTTGCGCGTCATTGGGGAGGAGTGTTTGCTCCGGTCGAACCCGATCGCTCTCTCTGGGACCCCTTGGAACCTTTCATTCAGAAGGCTTCGGGCGTTTGCCCTGACCTGGGGTGGATCCTGGATCGAGAAGCGTTTGCTGCGTTGGTGAAAGCCACGGGGAGTCTATGCCGGGTGTTGATGGGGGGCCATATAGCTGCTGGAAGATTCCAGAAGCGCAGGAGTAGCTTTACCTGTTGTATCGGCATTGCATCGCTCATCCTGGTGTTCCCCATCCTGCTAACTTCCATCGGATGCTCATGGTCTTCTTGGCCAAAGGGGATCACCCCACATATGCATCGGCGATGCCCCCTAGCCACCCAGTACTCGTCCGCTCCCCATGGGTTGCACAAGCTGCAAGCGGGTCACCTCTGCGATTGCTCGGCCTCTTTGTGTGCTGGGTCAGCGCTCTATCCTATACAGTCAGACTGGTGGTGTCCCTGGTCGCTCGATATTGGATAACATCACTGAGTGTGATGGAGATGGGGTCTGCGCTCACCTCGAGGGGCAAGACAAATCAGCGCAGCTCTATGCCGATTCTCGCGCCGCTCTCCCGAGTTTGATGATCCAATGGCTGCGCTTCGTCCTCAGTATGATGGGTATTCCGAGGTGGGCCGTGCAATTCTTCTCCAACTTTAA